TGTTTCCAGAGTCAATGTCTGTAAAAAGTACTTATGATATTCAGATTATACACGCAGTGTCGAATTCGCGAATCATGAAAGCGGGAGTGGCAGTTTCCGGTCTGTGTAGTACACAACCACATTAAAAATTGATCTATTAAACCTTATTTTTATGTTGGACACAAAAAGGGAGCATCCTATTACAACTTCTCAGACCTTTCCGTTAAGCGGGAGAACAAACTCATTTTAACAGGGTCATTCATATACATTGTTGACTCTTCCCAAAAATACACACATATGTACCGCAAACAAACAAATTTTAACTTCATTGAATGCAAAGCTTCTGTATTATATTTACCACATGAAAGTTTTCCAACTTTGTCCATCCAGAATTTAAATATATAGAAAGCGAGTCTCTTTTGAATAAAATTTTAATAACCAGTGTGTATAAGAGATGTTTATTCGAGCTTGTCGTAAAGGTTTGCCCTAAACGTAATCTTAATTTTTTTTTTACATTTATTTCTCTTTCCATGTTCATCTAGTTATCAAATATTGCCACTCCCCCCACCAGTCAAAACCTATTTACTACGGAAATGTCCGGTCAAGTTGACATCTTCTCACTGTTTGTGAATATAATTAATGTAGTATCAGGGACCTACCGGTATATGTATACTATGTTACATTTTGTAGTATATAGGTCCCTGGTAGTATTAAATTTAGTGTAAAAAAATTGTACTGAAGGATATTGGAGTTGGAACTTATCCCCTACCCGAATCAAACAATAGTTTTCTTTTTGTGTTTTATCCCCCCTCCCGAACCAAACAATTGTCTTCTTTTTGTGTTTTTGCTTGTCAAATTCTTTTCAAGTTCGTTTATCCCCCTTTTCAAATTCGATTCTAGGTGACTGCTATGTTAGCGATTTTCGTAAATAAGAGACTGAGCATGACAAAATCAACTTGTTTTTTTATTAGTGGGGGATTGAATATGTACAAAATAGATCATTTATTATAAAATCTGTGTATTTTAAGTGATTTAATCCAAAACAATACATTCCGTTTCGCATTTTAGCAACACCCGTAGGTTTTTAGAGTGGCGTAGCTTATTTTGTAACAATTGCACCTGTACATCTGTATATATTATATTTATGTATACATGTACGCGTTAATGTCAGTTCTAACCTTGTTCTCTCACTGGTGTTTGGTTTTCAATATCCCAGCTTTGAAAATTATTTTTAAAATGCATATTTGTTGTGTCAATGTTAATTGTTAAGAACAAAAAAGTTCATTGAGTATATGTAATGTACTTATTTAAAGTACAAAGTATTGTAGATGTTGTGTACAGTGCTTGAAAATTGAGAATTTGTGGCTTGGAAATAATAAAACTCTTTCTCCAGAACAGTGTCTAGCAATTAGAGTTGATCTTTTGCAAAGTAAAGGACAATATAAATCTAAGTACGATTTTCTCTCCCAAAACAATGTTCATGTTTTTCAAACTCCAAGTAAAATGGAAATTTGTGAAAATTAGTTTATGCCCTCTGCGGTTATTTTTCAAGTTGTTAATAATGAAAGCAATGTATTATTTCGAAACTCTAAAAACCCTCAAACAGAGCCTCTCAATGTCAATGAATGTTTCATGACAGGTTTTGTGGAGTTGGCAACTCCAAACTGTATGGGAGTTAGGTGTTCATATTTTGAAGATCTTTCTGTTACCCTCCAAGAGTTAGAGTCCGAAATTACAAATAACTGAGAAAAACATTGAGAATGTTTTTTTTTTTTTCTATACAATTGTTCAAGATGGGCCTGACGGAAGGGGTGATGTTTCTGTTTCTAGAGGAAAAGATTACAAAATGTTACCAGACAAAGCTTTTAGATTTCCTTCTGCATTGTCAAAATTGAAGCCGAATATCAAGGCAAAATGTATGACGGTTTTAATGAGCCATTGCCAAATAGTGTAAGAATCTTGGAATAGGTTCTTGATCACTCAGAACGACCAAAAGTGGATATCCAGAACCCTGTTCCGCGTCAACAAGCAGGGGAGATAAGTTTTGAAACTATCGACCGGATGTGACACCATCCTCCTACCCCTCCCTTGGTGTGTACTCAGCCTCCCGTCATTGACAGGTAATAAACTTAACAGTGAATTTAATGACTTTGTTATGAAAAGAATATAACTACATTATTTATTATTGTATTATCTCTTTCAGATACTTTTCTAGGCCCATTTGCTTGTGGATGCCCAAGAAACTGGCGGGTGAAGCTGAGTTGACCATAGGCCAGCTGCAAGGGACAGGAGATTATTTTGTCCGGGATCTACCGCATCATACGTAAAGTACTCACCATGTCCTCTTACTACTATCTAGCATCAGATTATCTGGAATGCCCCAAGCGTCACAAAAAGCTGAGTAGCTTGAACGAAGAACTGCTAAACCAACTGGATGTGGGTCATCATCTGCAGTTTCTTTGCATCTTCACTCGTCTTATGGCATGCGACATGGAAGTGGTCAAGATGATGCGTCAGTGAGGAGTGGGAAATAGCGTGGCCAGACTGAGGGAGAACCTCGCGGAACTTCATGGGGAGGAAATGTTGAGGAGGACAGCTCGATATCTAACCGACTGTCAGACCTTAACCAGGCCACAGAAGATGGGGCTCCTGTCTGACGTCAAGTTTCCGCCACCCACGACATCGCCAAAAATTCCGTCCTGTCAATGGCTCCTATTCATCTATTGCCAAGACGTACTCACCCGGTTAGAGGAAGTGAAGGCGGCCACCACTCCAGTCTTCGGTAGGATCTTAAAAGTGGACTCCACAAAGAAGGTTGTCAGGAAACTTCACGGTTCAGATGCGGAAACAGCTGCTTGGGCCGCCAATGTCGGCAACGAGCATGGGCAGGTGCTCATCTCCGCCCTGACAGCTGGATGCTTACTCCTCCATGGCACCTGATCCCACTTCTGATGTTTCAGGGGCCCGTGTTTGCTCTGCCTTCAATTCGTATTATTTTATGGACTTTGAGATTAAATATTGTTCTTTATCTCCATATCCGTCTGGAGAAGGAGTGGGACTAGACAACATGTTTCAGGGACTACAGAGGAGGTTCAGGGACAGTGGGGTTATTCCACCAGAGGTCATCTACGTAGACAGGGATTGCTATGGGCCAATTTTTATTGGAAAAAAGTTTGAGCAGTGGAGTGCGACTCAAGTGAGGCTGGACATCTGACATGTGGTAGTTCATGAAGCGCTCATCTGGTTTCTTTTCCAATAGAGCGAAGAGGACTTGCCTGCTTTTCCGTTTTTTATTGGTTAAAAAAGTAATTCAACTGAAAGCATTGTTAATTGACATTAATTATGCATGGTTTAAAATTGTGTAATTATGAGAGTTACTACATCGTGAAGGTGATATTACTGTTTAACAAGTTATCCTTTTCTATAGTGAGGTCAGTTATATTTGGTGAGCACTGTTATAGACGTATAGCATATTTAATGTCTATTTAAAATAATTATTTTCAATACAATTAATCACATCATGCTCAGTCTTATCTGAACCCCGAATTTATTACGTATTCTCCTCATGGGCCACCAGGATCCCACGGGCAATTTGTCGGTTATGTATATACCCAGCTACAAATAACATGGGAAATTTAGTTCACAACTCGGCTAGTGCGGGGGACAGCACATGGTGATACAGGTATGCAGGACGTAATGAAAAAGCCCTTATGGAGAAATTAGAGACAATGGACCGAAAGCTAGATAAACTGAGTGTTATTGAGAACAGGCTAGATGATTTTGATTGATTTATTGAATATTGTTTAACGCCAAGTCGGAAATCTCTCAGCCATGTTTTGGCGGACCATTAGTTTAAATCAGTTTTTGAAAGTTTGAGTCTACACTTAGAATATAATTATCTAAATTCATAAGTTTAGCTGATTCGCGTAAAAGTGTGAGTGAGGTGAGGAAAATTAAATACATGTTATTTTATCTTTCAGGTCACCTTTTTTCTGTATAACGTAAAATAATTATATAATATACAGACTGGAACCCAGCAGCCGTGTTTGCGTGTTTTTTCTTCACCATTCACTACAATACCTAGATAAGGCTGTGACAGAAAGATAAAAATCGGGAATAAGAAACTTATCTATCCGACACCGCAAAATTCATTTTAGAAGAATCCTTCCGCGATCTAAAATAATGCCATTTAAAATGTGAAAATACAAAAATATGTTGGATGAAAATAAGTTAAAAATAACATATAAAGTATATGTGGTAATTTTTTAAATTGTTGCGATATTTTTCTTGAAATGTTTACGTTATCGTTCGCGGCGTAGTGTGAGACAAAAAATACACAATGTGAGACAGAAAAATCTCACACTGTTGTCTCACACCGGACAAGTCGATCTAACACAGTAGGTTATGCGAGAAAAAGACGTTTTTCGTATACCATTGTCAAATAAATTTCATAATATGGTAGTTGAAGAGAGTCAAACAAGTTTAAAGCTACAAACAAAATGAAAAAAGACGGACACAATTCTCTACAATCAACAAATAAAATTCACCATAAAGTCATATGTTTTTATCATTTTTACACACTAAATAGTCAACGGATTTTTCCTGACAGGCCAACTAGGGATGCTAAATCCTTCTTGGCATCTGATCCAACTTTTGATGTTCTGACCGTTTCTGTTTGCTCTGCTCCATTTTGATAATGTTTCATTGACTCTTAAGGTCAAGATCTAGTAAATAACTTGAGACTAATTTTTTGTGCTAGTTCCATTATGACGTCATAATCAATTTCAACTTTCTTTTTCCCGCACTTTACGGCTTTAGCAGAATTATGTAGAAAATATGGTATTTTCAAATAGCAGTCGATGCGATGTTGTCAGTTATTAACCGGTGCAATATATGCTAAGACCCTGATAGCAACTGTAACTTTAAAAAATCGTGTTTTATCCAAAAATCTCTTTTAAAATACACTTTTCAAATTTCTAAGAATTATTATAGATTGACGCATCTTCAAATAGCAAAATAGCTCTTATTAAGCGCCTTTTGTTTTGAAAATTTGACCTTTGACCCCGCGCAGTCTGCGTAGGGCAAACCCGCAGAGAAGAACAATGGAGATCACAGCGTGAGACCGTGTTTGCGATACGATTACGGCCGTTATAATGAGCTTATATTATCAAACATTGCCTCCGGCGTGCCAGCTACAATATAGGGAGAAACTTTCCAAACTTGGAGTCGACAAAGTATGCAACGATCCGTTTGTGCAAGATGAAAGTTGGATGGACAGTGTTTCAAAATGGCCAGACGTTGAATTTGGTGAAATTTATTGTTATTTAGTGGACAGTCCTGGACAATTTACGAGAGAGACTCTCAAAGCGTATCGATCCTTTGAAGCATACAACTTTTTTCCATAGTGGATGGGTTCACACTGTTTATTATTCCAACCTTGACTGCAACGACAATTTTTTGCTAAAGGCCAAAGTAAACAGGTCGCAGGTGCTGTCGGAAAAACCTCATGAAGACTGGGTGTGTGTAAAAAAGAAAGATGGTACCATCTTGAATGCCCATTGCACGTGTAAGGCGGGGTAAGTAACATTTATTAACAAACGTTTGTAGTGATCATGAATTAGTATCACATTGCATAAAGATGCTGTAAAAATGTTCACATATGATGTTTGGCTAAATTTAAAATAAATGCTGTGATAGTTAATACAAACATACGCATTGAAAGAATTAAAATATGTTCTGCGGTGTACATGTGTTCTTCATTTCTTACAGGTTAGGTGAGGTTTGCTCGCATGTTGCAGCCATCCTGTTTAAAGTAGAAGCTAGTGTGCGCCTGGGCTACAATAGAGTGGCATGTACATCAATGCCATGCACGTGGAACCAGACTTTCACAAAGAAGGTAAAAATACTCTCCATCTTTTATACATTTTATGAATGTAGGTTTCTTTGTCACACATACTAGTGCATGTTAAATAGTTTTTTGTTTTATTTCTTGATTTTTTTGTTAAAACTGACCACTTCCTACATTGAACACATTCAATATATATGAAAATGTTTTTAAGAAATCTAAAAAAATAGAATCTTATTATTGTACATTACATATGTTGCTTATTCAACATTAATCCTGGCCTGGTACAAGTGTCCATGTTAATTTTTTTCAGATTTGAAATATAAAAGAATGGGAAAACATTCAGATAATTATATACGTATGGTTGAAAATATATCTCTATGCACACATTTGTACTTATGTATTTTTTTTACACAGATGCTTTAGCATGTTAAGTGTTTGAATTAGATAATAAATATTTACTAACTTTCAGGTAGAAGCAGTTCCACTTTCTCAAATCATCTTCAAGAAGACAGACTTCCACTTATCAGCTGATCCCGCACCTGTAGACAACGACCTTGTCATTGAAAGTCCTGATTCCTTTCTCCAAAAGTTGAAGCAAACAAATCCAACCGCAGTGATATTCACAGTGACTGATCCTGTTCCAAACCCTCCTATACCAAAGCCTGCTTTACCAAAGTTGTTAACATCATTATACAGATCCGATTACTGTAGCCTATCTGAAGCAGAACTGTCTTCAAGATGCCCTGATGTTTTAGAGGAAATTCATGTCACCCTAGAGGAGGCCACCGACCTGGAGAAGCTGACTCGTAAGCAATCCTTGTGTACGCAGTGGCACACTCACAGAGCTGGACGACTGACTGCCTCAAACTTTTTTGATGTATGCCATACCAACCCCAAGAGACCTAGTGCAACAGTGATACGCCGTACAATGGACTACTTACCAAATATTCAGACAGCGGCCACGAAATGGGGAAAAACAAACGAGGAAACCGCCCTAACGGAATACCAGGATTTGATGCAGAAGCACAATCCAGGGTTTATTATTCGGCAGAGTGGACTCGTGATCAACCCTGAATATCCATCACTAGGAGCGACCCCAGATGGTGTTACTGGGTGCCCATGTTGTGATAAAGGACTTGTGGAAGTTAAGTGTCCGTACAAGCATGTCAGTACCAGTCCATGAGGTGAAAGACAAGGGATTTTATTTAAAACCTCACTCATATGGGTGTGTATCATTCAAAGACGTCAAACTGTGCTCGAATTCCTTAATTATATCCTCAAAATATTATTACCAAGTCCAGGGACAAATTGCCATTTGTGGAGCTGGGCACTGTGATTTTGTGTGTTGGACATCCAAAGGACTTCACATTGAAAGAGTTCTCAGAGACCAGCCATTTATAGAGGAAATGTTTCAGAAACTAAATGTGTTTTTCCTGAATGTCATTCTTCCCGAACTTATGACAAGACGTCTGAAAGACTGTGATGAAAATAACAACACAGTTGACATTGTTTGTGTATGTGGTAAAGCAGAGGACTATGATGACATGATTGCGTGCGAGTCTGGACATTGCAAAGTTGAATGGTACCACTTTAAGTGTGTAGGACTGAAGCAAGTTCCGCAGGGAAAGTGGTCCTGTCTCACATGTAGAAAGATGCCCGCAGCGAAAAAATCCAAAAAGTGACATTTTTTAAACTACAGGTGTTCTTCAAGTGATGTGCATTCATTACAAAAGTGGACATGTGCTTTAATAGAGAATGTGTTGTTTCTTCCTTGAAATATCAGTATTATTGACTGCATATATTTTAATTTCAGGACTTTTTATGAAAAAAATGTGCATTTATATTTTAAATCTTTGTTCTTTGTTGTTCAGACAGTATTAAACTCTATTACACAGTAAACTTAGTTTTCTTTTAAGAGAGTGTTTGAGGCTCATTTGACCCTATTGAGACAGGTTGTTGGCCTGAAGACAATAAACTGAGAACAGTCTAAAGTCAAAAGTGAATCTAAAGATGCAAGGTTAACATTAAAAAAGTATATATTCAATTATTTAACATTTAATTCTATATTTCATTGAAAATTAAACGCAATTCTTTTCTCAGTTTATGGTCTTCATACCTGACTGTTAATGAAGTGTTATGTACACCGTGAATTGATAATTTTACAATTGCAATGAAAACTTCAGCATGTTGTCTGCAAATTTTTGCTGACATTGAGATAGAGAAATGAAATCTATTGGTACTAAGACAACTTCATAAGACTGGTAACATGGGTAAGACAGACCCTTTTTATGTGAGGTATCAGAACAAATATCCACCCGTGCTTATTAACTTGTCAATCAAGAAGGATGGTTCAATTTTCAATTCAACAATGGCCCAATTATCATCATGATCATGAAGCCGTTTTAGAACTTTCACTTACATTTGAAATTTGTAGTACAACTGTACTTAGTTTCATAGAAGAAAATATTTAATTTAATCTAGTAGTAAAAGTTTGTGGTTAAATATAAACATGATAAAAACTTTCAAGCGAAAGTCTTTTATATTTATCACAGAATATTAAAAATAATAATTTCATGAATGATAAAAATAAGTCTAAGACTGCTTCAAGATCATTAGGTATGGTTGTTGATGGAGTAACACGATGAGGCCAAGCTTAAAAAAATCTTTGTTTGCAGTTGGGTCGGTAGGTAGGCATTCTTTTTTTTTTAAGTCACCTGAGTCACTCGGGTGACCTATTGCCATCCGTGTTTGCCCGTCGGCGTCCGTCGTTCGTCGTCCGTCGTGTGTTAACATTTGAACATTTTCAGCTTCTTCTCTGAAACCACTAAACCAATTTCAACCAAATTTTGTATACAGCATCTGTGGGTGAAGGGGAACAAAAATTATGAATTTCATGGTCCCTGTCCCCCCTGGGGCCTGAGGGGTGGGGCCAAAACCACAAAAGCTAATGCAATCTTTAAAAATCTTCTTCTTTACTCCTGGACATCAAGCAGTCAAACTGTTTGCATGATTGTAATCAGCAATGAGTCCTCTACCAAAATTGTGAAATTCATGGCCCTGAGGTCAGGGGTTCTAGTGCTAGAGTGGCTAAATAAATAGGTAGTGAAAATGCATTATTTCTTTAAAAATCTTCTTCTCTTCTCCTGGGTATTAAATAAACCAACTAAGTACATAGTTATAATGAGCAAGAGTGCCTCTTCCAAAATTGTGAATTTTATGGCCCCAGGGTCAGGGGTTCTGGTGTTAGGGCGGGGCTCTATTGATCATGTAGCATGATATAGTGAAAATGCATTAATTCTTTGAAAATCTTCTTTTCTGCTTCTGGGTATTAAATAAACTAACTAAGTACATAGTTATGATGAGCAAGAGTGCCTCCTATAAAATTGTGAATTTTATGGCCCCAGGGTCAGGGGTTCTGGTGTTAGGGCAGGGCTCCATTGATTATATAGTGAAAATGCATTAATTCTTTGAAAATCTTCTTCTCTGCTTCTGGGTATTAAATGAACTAACTAAGCACATAGTTATAATGAGCAAGAGTGCCTCACCCAAAACTGTGAATTTTATGGCCCCAGGGTCAGGGGTTCTGGTGTTAAGGCAGGGCTCTGTTGATCATATAGTGAAAATGCATTAATTCATTGAAAATATTTTCCTTTGCTTCTTGGTTTTATGCCAATGATCCAAGTTTATATATTTATGATGAAGAAAGGTGCATCTAGCAAAGTGGTTTCTTTTATGCCCCCTGTGTCAGAGTGGTGGTGGTGGTGGTTGGGGGGGGGGGGGTACATAATCTAAAAATAAATAAATGCTTTGAAATCTGCTCTTTGGTATTAAGCAACCATTTTATGATAAAATGTTGAAATATGTGGCCCCTGGGTCAGTGGTTCCTTTGGAGTGAGGTGCACAACTGGGTATAAAGTGGAAGTGCATTTTCTCTTTGTTACTCTGATCTACCTCTGGGTATTAAGTAAATAGAGTAAGCATGCTAACTTTATAATTATGATAAGCAGTGGTGCCTCTTTCAAAATTGTGAATTTCATGGCCTCTGGTTGAAAACACGAACCAAATTTAATTGTTTGAATGTTGTTACACAATACTCAGGTGACCTATAAAGCCCGTGGGCCTCTTGTTTTTTTTTTGGGGGGGGGGAATTGGATTTTTGTTAATTGACAAATAAAAGAGGTTTTCATAGACCCGCTACACATGAATAAGCTCAACTCTTGTTATAAATCACTGATTGATAAAACAAAACTCAAAATTTGGAAAAGAAACAGTTTCAATATTCTGAAAAATTGGAGAAAAAAAAAAAAATTACAAAATTGCTAAAAAAAGGTTTGGGTCGGTGCATTTTCAGTGGGTCGGTAGGCAACTGCAAACTTATTTTTATTTTAGGCCTGAGTGTATATATGTTTCAAACTGATATCAACTTTCAAACCATTTTTTTTTCTGAGGAGTAAAAAGTCACATATATATGTTTTCCATTTATTCATTTAATAAATAATTCATTTCACATAAATATATTATGAATATATAAGCAATATTCTGATATGAAAATAATTTCATTTAACAACTGGACTTATTCTTCAGTACATTGCATAAAAAGAATCACATACATTGATATCAATTCATCATAAAATTGGTCCTGAACCTCACATCATCACAACAATTTGTCCAGAACCCCACAAAGAGACTTATAACATAGGTCCATTGGTGTTGATAATTGCTGCCACTACACGCACTAGTTTGTCACCGGAGGTAATACCTGAATCCACTTTCCTCTTCACTAGATTAATGGGCAATGTTCCTTTGATAATCTTCCTGGCTCAAGGAGAGTAGAACTTGGGCAGATTCGTTTTTCGCAATGTTCTCTTTTCTATCAAGAAGCCTCTGGTGACGTTGAACTTTTTCTTGCAGAATGCTTTCAGGAACGGGTCGGTGAGAAAAGATTGTTGGCACAAAATCTGGATTTATGGGATCCCTCGAGGGCTGGCCTATAAACAAAATATGTACTGTATTAATCACTTTAAGTAATAAGTTTTGTGTGAAATTATGCTTAAAAATGCACATTCAGTGATTTTAAATTATAAGGACATTAATCAATGTTAATTGACTTTATGAAATATAATAATGATAATACGTATCATGGATGGACTTAAAAACAGTATCTGTATACGATTTTTTATTGATAATACTGTCTTTTATAAAAAAAAAAATACTTAGGAAATTCGGTCTTTAATTCAATTTGTTAGAAAATTCGGTCGCCCATGTAATCAGATATAATCTGGGCACACTTGTATTTTTTTCACTCACTTCACTTGTTTTTAAAGAATATAAATATCGAAAAAATACATTAATGCATCTAACAAGATTTATTTACCGTTTATAAAATGTTTGGAGCAGATCCGTGAATGGTCGTTGGGCTCCCAGTCGTCCCTCTTAATGGCTGACACCGATTTTGCTCTCAGGTGAGGGTCTTTAGGTATTCTATAAAACTTGATGTCTGAGCCGGGAATCTGTCTGTTTTTGCAGCCATATGCACAACAATGGGCAGGCATCGTGAAGATTTTAAACTAGAGAATCCAACCACGATATCGGTGACACATGTCATTCACGTAAACAATCAAAATGGCGCATATACAGGTAATATACAATAATAGAAATAGCGTGGGCTTGCCCTACGCAGCACTGCGCATGCGTACGCGCACTGAATTATGGGAAGGTTTATTTTAAAAATTAAAGGCGCGTAATAAGGTCTATACCCACAATCTGAATAATAGATGATGTAAAAAAGCATGAACAGTGGGTATTTATTGACTGAAGATTTGGTACAGGCTTCGGAAATTTTACTAATTCTATATTATTAGAGGGCTATTCTGCAAATTACACATGGCAACATCTATAGAAATATCTTGCTTGTTCCGTGCACCCGAACTTTTCAGAGACTATCTTGATTTTAGGTCATGATTTCACTGTTTTACAACTTGTTCTAAGAGTTTTCAACATATTTATTTCTGCTAGCAGCCGTACAATTTCCGAATAGCAACATTGAACGCGGTTTTATTCCGATAGCAGCCGTTTAGGTACTACACCGTGATCTTGCCCGATTATGTAGAGGAATGCACTACAGGAAAGCGGTATATCTAGTCTTCCCGACTCCCGACGGTCCCGGATTTGGGATTTTTAGCGATTTCTTTTTTACGGGTGCACAGATTTCATTCAAACTTTTCAGGCACATTTTCTAGGTTTACATGGATTCATTAGTGCATAAAAACTTCAGGTAACATCTTTTTATTACTGAACCAGATGTTTCACCACAGGGGCTTGTCACGAAATATTTATCTTCTTTTAATAAAGTTATCCCTACTATAAAAATACACAAGGGAGGAATCTAAAAATAGGAAATTCGCTACTTCAAATTTTGACCGGACTTTTTGTCTAGTTTCTGGGCGACTTTCGTTGCCGACCAAGTAGGAGTGCGTGGAGTATTGATTCAATTTTAATATTCTTCCGTCAAATTCTAATCAACGCGTACCGTTAGTCATATAACTAACCTCTTTTCTCGATATTTGGATCTGGCGACAGTTCTTTCCATATGAATTTCCGGCGTAAATTGAATGCAGGGCTCTAATTGGTTGCTTTCTGTAAATAACTCGTACACAAAGTAGCTCTTAAATTTAGTGCACCAAAACGGAGGGGAAATCAAACTGTCGTGATGGCATTGAACAATACAGCTGTGGTTTCATTGTACGTATTTTACTATAATTGGTTATATTTATCTATTTAAACATGTTAAATATCCTTCACTAAGCATGTCAATCCTTACAGTTTATATTTTGTGTACGAGTTATCCACAGAAAGCAACCAATCAGAGCGCTGCTTTCAATTGACGCATATGGAAAGAACTGTCGCCAGATCCAAATATCGAGAAAAGAGGTTAGTTATATGACTAACGGTACGCGTTGATTAGAATTTGACTGAAGAATATTTAAATTGAATCTATACTCCACTCACTCCTACTTGGTCGGCAAAGAAAGTCGCCCAGAAACAAGATAGAAAGTCCGGTCAAAATTTGTGGTAGCAAATTTCCTATTTTTAGATTCCTCCCTTGTGTATTTTTATAGTAGGGGTAACTTTATTAAAAGAAGATAAATATTTCGTGACAAGCCCCTGTGGTTTCACCTGCAAAAAGCGGTAAATCTAGTACTCTGTTATAAATGTTAAAACCCAAAACGGACATCGATGTTTTCGTAGAATAGCGTATAAAAACAACAAAATGAAGTATATTTTTTTCAACAAATAAGCGGAGAACCTCATTAACATACCAAAAAATTTGTACGCCTATAAACACCCATATAATTTCTTTTTTCCGTGTATAAAGCGTTTATTGCCACATTATTTTCACAGTCTCTACGTACCACATTGACATATATACCTCGGAGCCCCCCCCCTTTATTAATTAATTTATTTTTATTTGACTTTACTTTTTGTTGATTGATTTTAAGTTTACTCTAAATTTTACTTATCGTAGGAAAACTTACACAATGACAAAAACATTATAAGATTACCAGAATTATTTTAAGGACCATGATTTGTACCCGGTTACATGTTATGTTAACATGGTGAATAGCTTTGATTTAGCAGCAGTGTACCATACATAATTACTTTTTATTTTTAATTTGACAGAAAATTTCTTCACTTTCATTGTATCAGCTAGGTGATTAGGAAATTAATTATTTTACCCAAGCTAACACTGCTTTAATAAATCTTTTAATAAGTGATTATCTTCTTCATTTCAAAACAGGTTGAAAAGGAACCCGACTATAAAAGTCATTTTAAATTGATGTTGGAATTATAAAATTAAACTGTTCATACTTTTTTAACTCCTTCAATTTCACCTAAACACTAATTCTATCTTTTTGAAAGAAGAAATATCTTCCCAAATAATATCAATATTATGATCTACGAAACATCACGTCTCCGCTCATCTCTAATTAAAAAAAAAATATGTGAGATTTAGTGCGTACAAATTATCTAGCATCTAAATGAAGTTTTCTAGTTATTTGTTTAAAAATTATATTCTTCATTTTGTTGTTTTAATCGCGATTTTACGAAAACATCGGTGTCCGTTTTGGATTTTAACATTTATAACAGAGTACTAGATTTACCGCTTTTTGGCAGGTGATACTGCTGATTCGTAATAAAAAGAAAAGTTTCTTAAAGTTTTTATGCATTACTGAATTCATATTAACCTAGAAAATGTGCCTGAAAAGTTTGAGTAAAATCTGTGCACCGGTAAAAATGAAATCGCCAAAAATCCCAAATCTGGGACCGTTGGGCGTCGGGAAGACTAGATATACCGCTTGCTTGCACTACAAAGATCCTTTTCGTCCCGCCCGTGCATGGCTATATTTAGATATAACAGCATGGTTTGTTCCCATTTCCTCCATCGTTCGGGGAGATTTCCATCTGATGATGAAAAAATCCAATTCCGGTGGTGGTCTTGTGTGCTCCATCTGACATTATGTAATGTTATGTATGACAGGGGAGGGAGGATGCCTCGGATATGTCAAGCACAATTAACCATGTCAACATGTGCAGCCATTTACAAGTTAATTACAAACACGAAAGTAGAAAGTAAAAGTAAATTTGGTATAGTAAATAAAGTAAATCCGGAATAAAATTATCAATATTACACTCTTTTTCGAACTCCAGAGAAACGTGTCAAGGGGTTGTCATCCTTGACACGGGGCACCATTTAACGTCTCGTCCGACGGACTTGCATATTTATTTAAAAATATGTAAACGTCTAAAATATTATATAAACTGTTATAATAAAGAAATTCTAATGTATTCTTAATATCCACATTAACATCTTATTCCTCCATTTCTTTTTTTCCTCTTTCACCAAATATTGATCCACTGCATATGATCATTATAAAAAGTTTGCTTACACTGACATTATCACAGATCTCAACTTCCTCCTCTTCACCTTCAAGTTTTCAACAAATTCCTTCCAGTATAGATCTTTCTCATTTGTTCTGAGGAGCAAGCCAGAAATTCGTCATCCAGTTAATTAAAAACAATACAGTTTGAAAACTAACACGAGAATTACAAAATGTTTTATTAATTTTATTTAGAAAGAAAGTATATATCATTTTTTGAAGTTTGATACAGAATATTTATATTTTGATCAAAACTATTTATGCGCTTTTTGATATAGCGTAGATTTCATTCATATGTTTTCATCACGGCTTCCGTTTTGAAAGATGTGGTCATCATAAACCTAGATTTTTTATTGAAACTACACGAAATGCTCCAAAATAGTACGATAAATGAAATCGGTAAACCAGTCAGTGTTGGTCTCCAGAGATTCATATGAGGCACCATCACCTGTTGAAGATTTGCTGCTTAAGCTTTCTCCTAGGGCTGGACCTAGACTGAACGTTGTCAAGGTCACTGGAAGAAAAATTTCCATTATTCGTGTCCTGCCGATATCTTTCTTATTGATAAACGTGGTAGGTTCTCATTTCACACAAAGATTGCTTATGACCTAAGAGTGTGTAATGACCTTGACCTAGGTCATTTAGGGAAGTTCAAGGTCATTGGAAGAAGTATTTCATAATTCGTGTCTGGTCCATATCTTTCTTATGGATAAACTCGGTAGGTTCTCTTGTCACACAAAGATTGCTCAAGACGTAAAAGTGTGGCAAGACCTTGACCCAAGGTCATTTGGGGAAGCTCAAGGTCACTTTGAAGGAAAGTTTCATAACTCGTGTCTGGTCTTTATCTTTCTTATGGATAAACTTGAACCTTTTACCTCACTCAAACCTTGCTTATGACCTGAGGTTGTGTAATGACTTTGAACCAAGTTCGTTTATGCAAGTTCAAGGTTACTGACAGAGAAAGTTCATAATTCATGTCTCTTCTGTATATTTAGTTTATTTTTTTATTAGGCTGCATCTTCGTTTCATTTAAAAAAATATAATGTACAATTACATTTGCACTAAAATTGTTTTAGCATTTCTCTCTTCTCTTAGATCCATAAAATATTCACATGATATAGCACCTCAGACCATCCGTTAATTCTCGATCATTACAAAAAGTACTCAGCTAGATATGAACTTTCGGCAGGGGATGCCCACTCCTTCATGGAACCTGATCCAACCTCTGATGATTTCGAGGTCCGTGTTAGCTCTGCTCCTGTTTTGTATTATTTTATTGACTTTTGATCTTAAATATTGTTCACTATCTCCATATATTTCGCACTTATCACACCCATGATATCAAGAGAATGATTTCATGCATTTGACAAATGTTAGAAAGGGGGCATCACAAATACTGAGTGGATCTCAAGTTATATACTTTTCTCACCATTGAGTAAAGGGTTTTTGCTAGTCTCAGATAAGAATTGGCAAAATTGATGTTGGGAACGTCTGCACAAAGGGAGGCCTTCAATGTAAATAAAGAGCTCTAAGTTAATATCATGTGCAACTGAGGCAAAATACTTCGTAACATAGGCTGTCACATCATTAGCTATCCCAAAATGAAAATACTCACCTTAGCATTTTTTTTCTTAATTTAATAGTTAGTTTCTGTATTAAAAAGTGTCCATGGATTTTTTTTTCAGATCGAAATTCGACAATGTTAGTTTTAAGCAAATCTTCCAAGTTTAAGTTATTCTTCCTCATTATAATTTAGTATTAAGATAGTATTGA